TAATGGACCTATCAAGGTGCTTTTTATTTCTGTTGGTATTTTGATGTCTAACATTCTTTATCCTTTCTTAGAATTTCTTTTTTTTTATATTTATTTTTTAGTTGTAGTTGGACACAATGCCTTTATTCTATAATTTTTTTAGAGAGAGAGAGAGAGAGAGAGAGAGAGAATTTTTTTAATATTTATTGTTTAATTTTCGGCGGACACAACATCTTTGTTTGTATGTGGTGCTGAGGATCAAACCGGGCTGCACTCATGCCAGGCGAGCACGCTACCACTTGAGCCACATCCCCAGCCCATAATGCCTTTATTTTATTTATTTTTATGTGGTGCTGGGGATTGAACCCAGGGCCTCGAGCATGCTAGGCAAGCGCTCTACCACTGAGCCACAACTCCGGCCCTCTTTTTTAGAATTTCCATCTCTCTGTTTACATTTCCCACCTCTTCCTGAGTGCTGTCCACTTTTTCCATTAGTGCTTCTAGTGCAGTAATCATCGTTGTCTTCAACTCCAGTCTGATAATCCCAACATCCCTGCCAAATTGGCGTCTGTTGCTGATGTTGGCTTAGTCTTTCTGAATGGTGTTTTTAACTTCTAATATGCCTTGTAATTTTTTCTTGATAGTCAGACATGGTATTTTTCGTAAAGGAAGCCAGGACTGGAATCTGACACTGCTTGTCCCAGAAACTTCCATTCAAGGTTTTGCTCAGTAGTCGTGATGGTTTGGTATTCACCTGTTGCCCTCTCTCCAATTTTGGTGGCAGTGGTTTGCTCTGTGATCTCTCTTCTCTGCAAATCTAAAAAGTGTCTGATTTTTAAGTAGATTTGGCTTTTTAGCTATTGTTAGGATGGAGCAATTATTTCCAAGCTACTTATACACCAGTCTGGTTGTTTTTAATTCACAGTTATTGTGATTGACGGTTAAATTTGGTGGCTATTTCTATCGTTGTTTGTGTCCCTTTTACTCATAGAGTCCTTTTTCTTGACCACATTCAAATTAACTCAACACTCTCTGTCATATACTGAGCCTTCCTCTCTGCTCCTAGGTGTCTATAAATGTGTTTTTATTTATTTTTCCTGCTTGGGATTCATTTGAATTCTTCAACAGATCAGTGTATTGATAGTTTAGAAAAATTATCAACATTATCATTACAAATATTGATCCCACACAGTTTTCTCTTCCTCTAACTCTGCATGAATTAGATTTTTTTCAGTGTTTCTGTCTTTATTCTTTGGCAGCTCTCTGCTTCTCTCATGATATTTTCTTTTCAGCTACTCCCTGGTCACTGACTTTTCTGTGGCTTGAGCATAACTATCAGCTCCCTCCCTCTGTCTTGTCCTTCTCTCCCACTGATTCATCCACATATGTAATGTGCACACCACTCAAATGAGCAAAGCGCAGTTAACTATCAACAATTCCACTTATCGTAAGGACCACTCGTCTTTTGCTAGATATAGAAATGTGTTTCCATGCTTTCTCTTTGTATACACAGCTAATGCACATAGAAGAACAAAAACAACCAATAGGGTAGGGGAGGGCTGGCTTGAAATCAACATATTTTGGAGGTTATGTTTAAAGTTTAGGAAGCACACGAATGGATATGGAAAGTTTTTATTATGTGCCCTGATAAGAGCTTAGAATTCTGTATCTACATACCAATTACATTTTTTATTTTTTATTTATTTATTTTTTTGCTTATTTAAAATATTTTTTATGTTAAAAGCAATACATTCAGGGCAAATATTTCAACTATAATGAAAAATGAAAAACAAGAAGCAAAAATTCTCCTCTCTAATATCTTCCCCCTAGATCTTGAATCCCATTGCCAAGGGTTATACAAAATTACATACAAGAGGAAGTGAGGGGAAAGGGAAAAATAATACAAGGGGGAGAAATGAATTACAGTAGAGGGGGTAAAGAGAGAAGAGGGGAGGGGAGGGGAGGGGGGATAGTAGAGGATAGGAAAGGCAGCAGAATACAACAGACACTAGTATGGCAATATGTAAATCAATGGAAGTGTAACTGATGTGATTCTGCAATCTGTATGTGGGGTAAAAATGGGAATTCATAACCCACTTGAATCAAAGTGTGAAATATGATATGTCAAGAACTATGTAATGTTTTGAACAACCAACAATAAAAAATTTAAAAAACACAATTTAAATTTAGATAATACAAAATCTTCATTTTGAAATATATAAAGCAGTTCCTAGGACAAATAAGTGAGTAGAACAAGTCACAGGCTATGAGATTGAATATGCAAAACTCAATTTTCATATACTCCAATCAATTCATGGAAGCCAAAAGATAGTTTTAAATAACATTTGTAGTTACTGAAAAAAAGGTAGGAATAAATCTAATGAGCACTTCCTGGCTTGTACGCTGAGGGTGCAAAGTACTGATGAAGGAAATTACAGATCTTAAAAATGGGTGCATGATATTCATGGATAGGAAAAGTCTGCTTTCCAAACTGAACTATAMTTAAATGAAAAACCTACAGTTTGGTCACTGATTTTACTCTTCTTTCTTTAAGATCTTTATAACAGATTCCAAAGTGGAGCAACTTGGGATGATTGGTGTTTGTAAGTCTATGCTTTATAACTTGATTCCGGGGACCTTGCATTGAAGTGAAGTATCTGCAAAGCCACCAAGCAGAAGTGGGGCGGGGGTTGAAAACCTGGGCTGGGTGGGAAGTATTGTGTGCAGTCTTTCCTGAAAGTGGGCTTTTCTCGAGGTGACTCTTTTTACTAATCCTGAATAAATGGAAGTCAGGCCAGCCTGGCTTACAGAGGCGTGTCTGTAAGTGAAGGGCAGGAAGGGAGCTCCTGGTCAGCAGAGTGAGGGTAACAAGGAAGAGGGAGGATCAGAAAACTAAAGACGCCAGCCTCCTACAGTGACGCAGCCACATCAGGATCACAGCAGCTCAGCTATGGGATCAGCCTAGGTGCCCTTCTACAGAAGAATGGGTCAAGAAACTGTGGCACAAATACACAATGGAACACTATTCAGCCACAAGAAGAATGAAATCGTGGCACTGACTGGTGGATGGGTGGACCCGGAGACTATCATGCTAAGTCAGACAAGCCCATCCCAAACCCAGGGCGGAATGTCTTCTCTGGTACGCAGAAGCCTAATCCAAGATAAGTGGGGAGGGGATGAGAAGAAAGAAAGGGGAAAACAAACCAGAGGGAACTTCATCAAAATAGAGGGAAGACCAGTAGAGTGTGAAGGGGACTGAGGGGGAGGAATAAGGGACGAGGACAGGGAAGGACAGTGGAGGGAGAGTGACTCTGGCCCAACTGTCCTAAGTGCATGTGTGGATGTGGCAGGGCAGGTCCCTGCGGGGGTGTCCCCAGGACTGTAAGGGCATGGGTGAAGTGGAGGGGTGGGGTGGGCTGGGACTGCACTGGAGTAGGCTGTGCTCCATGCTTGTTCGATTCTGGAGGGGTGTATCCTGGGTGATCTATAATTTAAAAAAATAATAATAAGGGAACGGAAGCAGCAGCATGTAATAAAATTAAAGGGAGTTTTAACTTTTTACCCGCCAGTCTCTTAATAGCTTTGTTGAGGTGAAAAAGAATCCAGAAACATTCAGCGCTTACCATAGAAACCTTAAAGGGAAAATACCCTGTTTCAACAGTGTAATTGCTGCCTGATTGTCTTTTGTTACCAAGTGAACAAAATACAAATTGTTTGTTTTCAAATGTTCTGCGGTGTTCCAACAGTGTTTGCATTACCTCCAAAGAGGATAAACATCAATGTGGAAAAATGCTGCGCCCTGGCAGCAGACCCGCTGGGTTAGAATCCCTGCCTCACCACTGGCCAGTGCCCAGGCCCTCCCTGGACCTCATGGTCTGTGCTGACGGACACAGTGACAGCCTCCAGTGCCACATTTTAAAGATGAGAAGCCACAGCTTATTAGCACTTGCCTAACACATTGTGTGTTGCAGTCATCGATCAATATTCTTATTGTTACATGATTATTATTTTGGTGAAACTTCAGTATAATATCATTCAGTATCAAAAACAATTTTGTGTACTTTGAATATTCCCAGGACTAATAAATCCAGAGAAGATTAGCTACTGAAATATCATAAAAACTCTGACGAAGCTGTCTTACTTTATAAGGCTGTCTCCTTAAATGGATCCAGGGGTCTAGTTACAGGGATTTCTTCCAGCATTTATTTCCTAACACAAATCACAAAGCTTATTGGTAGAAAATTATTAATAGAAAAATGTGCTACAGAAACTTTTTTCTTCTAGAAACAAAATACTGTTTTCCCATAATGGAATCACAAAATAATTGATCCATTTGCCCAGATGCTGCAGGAAGTCACAGCAAAAGCCAAATGGATATATATATATATTTCTCTCTCAGAAACACAGGTTTTTCCGCCTCTCAAATCCCAAAACTCATCATAGTCCCCAGGCCACTTAGATCTTCCATGAATTCATTGGCTATCTTCAAATTTTTGTGCAATTTAATTATGTTTTATTTCTACAAATCTTTGAGATGGAAAGAAAGGAATACATTCCTTGAAAAAATAAGGTTGTCCCACCACCAAGTTCAAGGTCAGCCTTCATCCGTCGGTCATGTTGGGTCCACTTTCATGAACTGAACCCGAGTTACTCCCTCTGAGGCTCTCGTTCATTTGCTTTGTTAAGACTTCTCAGATTTCCACGTGGTGAGGGTCCAGTGAACCCTGGAACATTTGGTTTTACTCAGTCGGCTTGCCATGTTCCAATGACGAAGGAAACATTTTTATGGTAATTTAAAAGAGAGATCAGCAGGGAAAGTTTGGAGAGCACAAGTTCTCAGGGAAATCAAATTAGCTGGGAAGATTTAATTTTCACAAAAATATTGCCTTTACCCCGAGCTCCCTCTGAGGTCTCTCTCCAGGTCTGTGGGGGAAGAGGCAGTGGAGCTGGACTACAGAGTCTGTTATTCTTCAGAGTTAAAGAAAGAGATCATAACTCCAGCCTTCTCCATGATCATACAGAGTGACCGCCAAGACCATAACACTGGACAGTGGAGAGGCCTCAGAGAGGATGAACCCAGTACATGCCTGAGAACTGAATTGAAGCCTGAGACCAGCTCTGGGTCTTCCCACCACCACACAGATCCTCAGCACGGAGCAAAGATGAAACCCAGGGCTCCCCACCTGTGGGCCAGCTCTCTACACCATCACACCAGCTGCCCTAGGCCACCGCATACCTTTAAACACGSCCTTGACCGCACCTCCTGGGCATGTCCTGGAAGAACCTTGCTGGGGGTCTCACATCACCCCACAACATGGCCTTAGGAGACCACAATATGCCACCCTAAAATATGCTTCTCTAGCATATTTTGGGCTCATTATTTTACAAAACTGCATAACAGTAGCTTGGAAAGTCTGTCCTTTTGTAAAATATTTCAAGAAATCTACAATAATAAACGACTCCTATCAGGATAGCGCTGCCCTGCTCGTGGGCAGCGTTTTGTCTGCAGGTGGGACAACTTTTAAGCCCCATGTGTTCTCTCTCCCATCCCCAGAGTCCCCAGGCCCCTGCTCCTCCCTGTAGCTCAGGATGCTAGATGGGCTTCCTTCTCCTGGCTCTTCCTTGAGTCCTGTGTGTTATGGGACTTCTGTGTGTTGAGTGTGTACAATTAAACATGCTTTTTCTCCTCTTGGTCTGTCTTATGTGGACTTAATTTCAGCCCAGCAGAGAACCTACAGAAGTGGATAAAGCCATTCCTGCCCACACACAACCTCAAACTCAAAGAGACCTCAGTGGTTATGTGCACCATTAACATTCCCAGTGCCTCAACTAGCTCCTGGCACGTTGTAGACTGTCTACTCAAAAGTGATCATGGGGTGAATGTTAGGCCTCTGGGTTTTATCTGTCTATTGAGGCCTGTCAATCAAGCTCAGTCAAGGTCATCCTGTAGTCCATGACTGATTGATGCCGGCTGTAAGTTCTTCAATAGTGGTCCCACACAGAGGTAGAACCAAGTCCCCCTGTTGCTCTGTGACTGCTTAGGCCCCAGCAACACAGCAGAGGCAGAGCACAGCTTGTTTCCAGGCACAGGCTCTAGGAACTGTCCCTCTGTGAGCACCCTAAGGCACCACATCATCTGTGACCACCCCAGGACCACAAGGCTGGAAAAGCCACATGAAAGTCCTGTGGCAGACCCCTGTGAACTCTGCAACACATGCTTCCCTGCCAAGATATTGGATGTGGGCGAAGCTGGCCTGGGCCCCCCAGATGGGCACATTGGCCCGCTGAGTACCAACCACAGCCCTGAGCAGAGCCATGAGGCAGGAAATTCACCCAGCTGTCACTTGCTGAATTCCTGACTCACAAGCCGGAGATCTCATAAAATAGTTGTGGCCCAAAGCTCTAAGTTTTAGACCAACCTGTTTTGTAGTGATAGATGACTAGAATAGGCCCCAACCCCAAACCAAAAGCCTTCTCTGTTCCCTTATGGAAGGTCTCAATTAAGAATGTGTTTGACTGCAAATAACAGGAGACCCTATTATCACAGAAGTCCAGAGCTGAGCAGCCCAGAACTGGTACAACTTGTCCAGGCCGCCACCAGGGCCCACATCCGCAGAATGACTGCTGTATCTCCAGCCCCTGCACATCGCTTCAGACCTGAAAAGAGGCAGTGGGAAGAGGCAGAGGGTCAAGAGCCCCAGGCCTGCGGCRAGCTCATCTCCTCTGGGAAGCTTTCCCAAAGGTTTGTTTCATGGCTTTCCTTTACATCTCACTGGCAGGATTTGAGTTCCAGGGGCCACCTCTACCTGCAAGGGCGTCTGCGGGGAGAGTGCCCTGAGCAGGGTGCACTGGCATGTGGGGTAACTGGGATCCTGCTAGGAAGGAAGAGGTGTCTGTGGCAGGAGGCCCGCCTGTCCTGGGACCTGGACCCCAGCAGTGGCAACTTGCTACAACGCCCCCAGATCTCCATGGAGAGGTGGTTTAGAGCACAAATCTCATGGGAAGGGTACATAAGAGGATTTATCTTGAGGTTGAGATTTCACAGCAAGTTCATTGCATTTTGCTTCAACCGTACATTTATTTGGGATGGCTCTGAGAAGCCATAAAGATCATCTTGTCTGGAGGGACAGCCCCCACAAACACCCTGGGCAGCTGACACTCCTCCTGGGTGGGAAGCACCAACAGGCATCTCTGCTCTGAGGAATGATTGGAAATGTGCTCTCCCCAATTCTAAAAGGCCTTAATAACCAGGTTGACCTGCAGCAATCATTTCTGAACGTCTTTGCATGACAAATGAACAGAGATGCAAATCCACATTCAATAGCACCCTGTACACAAAAACTCATTACAGAAATAGAGGCTTGTCATGTTTGGAACAAGAAGTATTTAAAAAAAAGAAAAAAAAAAAAGCTCATATGAAATCCAAATACCTCGTGAGCACTTGAACGCGTAACATGGCCTAAATGTTAATGAAGCAATTCGACTCACTCAGCAAGATGAGCAACAAAAGAAACGCTTTCAAGACACAGCTGTCAACAATTACCCTGGATGGGGTGGAGCTGGCTCATATTCAGATCTTAGAGCTCATGGAAATGTGGAGCCTGTTTGACCAAGAGCCATGCCAGACTCCAGGCAGACAGTGAACAGCGCTCACTTAGCAGGACAGAGATGACGCATCCTGGCTAGCTGGGTGATCCCCTCATGTCTGAAATAAGTGGCTTTTTTTTTTTTTTGTAGGTTTGGAAAGCACCAAAGAGGGATATAGGACATAACCTGCCTTTTCCTGAGGTGAAAGTTTAAATGGCCCCTGGCAGGGTCTTGATGATTTTATTGTCAGTTTTTTCTTTTCTGATTTGAACCTTCTGGATAGCGAATATTTTCATAAATGGAAGCTCGCGGACTGTGTTTGGACCATTTAGAAGAGACAGGCTCTGTTTCGGCTGAGGACAGCACCTCTGGGCCACCCCTCTCACCCCAGCTTGCACATGCACACACAGACCTAGCAGACGGGTTTTACCCTTTGACCACAGACAGCTGGACCAGGGGTAGCCTCAGCCAGAGGGAGAGATTTCCTTTCCTGGGAAGCTGGGGTCAGTCAGAGAAGCCCTGCAGTTTCCCTGAAGATGGACCCAGGGAGCAACCACGTGCAAAGAGAAGCAAAAAGGCAGTGAACAGAACGACAGGCCTTGCACTGGGTGAAGAACAGACTGGAAGCCACACAGCCCCAGGAGGCCACTTTGTGCCAGGAGCCCGCCGTACCAGGAGGCCAGACCACACTGCCTGCCCCCAGTTCCCGTGGAATTCCCTGTGTCCTTCCCTTTGATGCAAACTAGCTTGAAGGATTTGGTCGGAAGCTGTCAGCTGCCCCTTGGATCTCCATTCTCCCTTCTTCCTCACTAACTGAAACCCAATAGTGTCCACAGCAGTTAAGAAAACCACACTCCCTAGCCTGTCTTATTATTGGGTCATTGATGAGAAGCAATTGGAAGCTATTGGTGATATTTTTAAGGAGCCTCTTAAAGAGGGCAGACTCAGGAGGCCCACCCTTTCCCCTTCTCCTTTCTTGTTTCCTGGAGAGCCAGTGTGATTGCTTAGGCTGTCACCACTGGGGTTTTGATTAGTCCCCAAATGAAGTTCTCAGTACAAGTGGGTGTCAGTGCTTGGCAGTCAGCTCTGAGAGCTTCACCTGTCATTACCAATTGTCCCACCCATAGCAGCTCTCCAGTGGGTCAACAGTGCCCAAACCCAGAAATTGCTGTACACAGTCCTTCTGTGTCCAGAGTCCAGTAAAGTTGATGTATTAAAACCAAAACACGTCCTGGATTGCAATTTCATTGCCTACCCGTTCTTACGCTCTCTTCCACTCCTGCTTCACACAGACTTGATGCTGAACAAGACCTCGCTCACCAGGATCGGTTCTGTGCCCTCCTTCACCGTCCGACACACATACCATTGATTCTATGAACAAAATGAAAACCCCTTTGACTCCGTTAAGTGCCACATTGTGGATTTCATTCAGTGGAAATCATTTTCCACTGTGCTCTGAAGAAGCCGTAAATCATTAGATAAGCAGCTGCAAGATACCTTTGTTAAAGTCATTGGTAGAAATTATTGACCTGAGAAGGGCCAAGGTTGTATGTTTTGTGTCACCTCAAAAATGACCCTCCTTGGCAAGACACGGACAGGAACCACCCCACCACTGTGCATGCTGCGTTCAACCAGAATTGAAGCAGGAAACCTGTCACCCATCCAGGTGATGGCTGCAGTCTGTGCTGTGGACCGAATCTATGCCTGCAGCACTGGTCCCTGACATGGTGGTCACTAGAGGTTGCCCTCTGGGAGGTGGTCAGGTCAGAGAGCCCTCATGATGGACCAGTAACCTATGGGAAAAGACCAGAGAGTTTGCTGGAAGAAGATGGTCATCTGCATGTGAGAAAGCCCACTGGATGACTCCCTCATCAAGAACCAAACCTGCCAGTGCCTTTATCCTGGACTTTGCAGCCTCCAGAATTGTGAGAAATAAATGTCTGTTGTTTAAACTTCCCAGTCTCCTGAGTATGGTGGCGCACGCCTGTAACCCCAGCAACTCTAGAGTCTGAGCCAGGAGGATCACAAGTTCAAGGCTGGCCTCAGCAACTTAGAGAGGCCCTAAACAATTTGGTGAGACCTTGTCTCAAAAAATAAAAGGGCTGGGGATGTAACTCAATGGTAGAGCATCCCTGGGTTAAATCCCCAGCACCAAAAACAACAAAGCACCCTTCTGTGGCATTTTGTTGTAGCAGCAGAACTGAGTGTGATGGTACCTTTTGGGATTCTGGGTACGCTTTAGATCTGACACCTGAGATCTGGGCCACCTGGGATTTCGCCACAGTGCATTTCCTACTTGTTCACCTCTCAGAAAAGCTTCTCTCCATGGTTGCCTTGCCTATCTGTCATACCTCATTGAATCCATGATGCTATTAATTATTAGATGCACCGTAATTTTACATACAATGAAAGAAAACAAGATGGTACCCATCATAATGTGAAGAGATGTACCAAGTGCATCCCAATTTTAAAGTATTAAAATATTAAGAAGGGTATATTACGGAATGGAGGAAGGCAGTGCTCCTGAGTACAGGTCTGGCTACAGGAGAGAGACAGAACCCAACTTCTCCAGGCCACCGAATTCCTAAAGCAGGAATTCCCAGTCTGCTCGATGTTTCTCCCCAAGTCCTTTCCATGGTGTGAGTGGGAAGGAGAGGTCACCTAACATCCCCATTGCTGGGGGAGACTGTGCGATGACCACCGGCCAGGAAGCTTCAGCAAGGTGTTCTTGCTTTCCAGATAAGAAGCTGCTTTGGTCGGCCTGTCTGTCTTTCTGTCTGTCTGTGTGGCTGTCTGTCTTTCTGTCTGTGTGGCTGTCTTTCTGTCTATGTGGCTGTCTGGCTGGCTGGTTGGCTTTCTATCTGTCTGGCTGGCTAGCTGGCTGGCTGTCTTTCTGTCTGTGTGGCTGTCTGTCTGTGTGGCTGTCTGTCTGGCTGTCTGTCTGGCTGTCTGGCTGTCTGTTGTCTGGCTCACTGTCTCTGGCTGTCTGGCTGTTGTCTGTCTAGCTGTCTGGCTGTCTGGCTGGTTCTTTGTCTATCTGTCTGTTGGACATTCTTTCTAGCTGTCTGTTTGTGGAATTGAGTGAAGCAGC